TTGAGCCGTCCCACCATCTTTTCCAACGATAGTGGCCACAGCCCAGTAGCACGGAAGCCGCTGATGATTGTTGTGGGCACGATGCGGTGGGCCCATGCTTGGGACGCGATCCGTAGCGCGGCAGGCTTCGAAATTGAGAAAAAGTTGCCAGTGTCTAACAAACATGAAGGTTTTATTTTTCATTGCTCGGCATGTATAATGTGATATGTAAAGATTTATGTTACCATCGTTCACCATTTCGTTAAAAATTCCTTGGCGTATGGAAGTTTTGAATGGGCCAAACACACTCACATCCAAAGGTTGAAACAAATGCGTACCATTTGCAGGAAGGCACAGCAAAATAATTTGCAATGAATTACACAAAGTGAAAATGTCCAACGAATAGTGGGAGGCAAGTCCGTCAAATACAAGAAGAAGTGGACGTTGCGTTTCAACACTGACCGAAGCCGAAAACATCTTCAACCACGAGACAAACAAATCTTCGTTCATAAATCCTTTCGGAGATGTAGAAACGGTAGCATGCGGCACGCAACATTCAAGTCCCAAAACCTTCTCAATTGTTTCACCTGGAAGTAAAAATAAAGGAGGAATAAAAACACCATTCGCATTTCCACACGCCACTATCGTCAGGTGAAAATTTGCTGGGACGTTTTTCGCCCAAACGTTCCGTGAGCCCTTGATTGCAACGACCTTCTTGGACTTTTGCCTTGAGGCAAACGCCGTCTCGTCCATGTTGAAGATTCGGTCAGGAGTAAATCCTAAGAGTATAATATTAATTTCAAAAATTCTGATGTAATAATATACGCACCGTGTTCCGCGATGATGCTCTCGACTGAATCGAACAGTACTTGCACTGCAGCGTCGTTAACATTGTTCCTGACATGCGAAATGACTTGGGCACTTCGTGAAGTCAGCTGGGTATGCCGTTGCATAAACTGCTTGTACCAGCCTCCCGAGACTGACCCGAGAGGGTCAAGTTGGCGAACCAGTTGGTTGCCCTTGATGAGGATCATGTGTCGATCCACAGGGTGCCCGTTTTGTTGCATGGCGGTGATCCACGCCACAAGGTGACTTTTGCAGTCACGCGGGAGAATGGGAGGTGGACCCCGCCGCTGTGGAGGCACCAGCGTGCCAGCCTTTGTCTCTCGCACCTTGCGCATAAGCGCAAGGTACGGAATCTTGGACTTGCCGGAAACAAAACGCCCGCTCTGTCCACTGATGACGTCTTGGATGGCTTGGTAGAGCTCGGCCGGTGTGTACCGACTCCGAGTGAGTGGTGCCATGTTGGCGCGAAAACGCAGACTGAGTGTTGACAACCTGTATTATTTTGTGGAGTTTTTGCCGCTCAAAATCCTGGCGATTCTATTGGCTTATCCGACGTATCCATAAACCGTCCAAGTATCCATAAAGTGGCCGTTTACGTTACATTTGACTATGCCGCGAAAGAGCTTTCCGTCAGCTTTCCGGAAATGTTGGTACAATGAAATGCCATGAAAACCAATTGAGATATTTTAGTTTGAACATTTTGAAAATTTGGCTGATCAATGGTCGATCACGTTACAGTTAGTATACAACAATTAACAGTAAACTCGAAGGAGGTGTTGTTTACTGTTAGTATGATGTTGGGATGGCAACTCGTAACTGAACGACAACGTCGGCAGATATAAAAATAAACACTCGAATTTTCGTCGTCGTGAGCACACAGGATGGTCCACGATGTCCACAAGCAGTGGTGGAAATCGGGCAGAACGTCGGCATAGCATAACAATCAAGAACATCTCAGCCAAGAATGCCCAGCAGTTGCGCGTCGACGCGCTGCGTCTCGTGTCGGAAGGGTCCGTTGCTTCATATGTTTGTGTGTCATCGCCCAATCGTTGTTGCTAGCGTCGTCCAGTTGGAAGTTGACTCGAATGCTGCGTATGAACGACAAGGCAACATGGCGTACTATTCAGAAGTACGTATCTAACTTTCCTCCCAAGTACTCTATCGATCAAGGAAGTACGTATCGAGGCACTCTGTGGCTAGGAAAACCTCGCGCAACGGCTGGCCATCCGCAACCACCCGTTGCTAAAACGACTCACGTGCGCACTGTGGCGCCTTGTGGTCACGTCATCGGCGCCCATGGATTTTGACGGATACACGATGCTCCTCATCCGACTGCACAAGATTTTGATGGAGCATTTCAATGCCGACGTCTCGTATGTCCAAATTCGGGTTCGATTGCAAGCAAGATGGCGGCGGTATTGGGCTGGATTAACTATAAGTCGGTTGAGTAGCTTGATTGGGACAGCGATACAAAAGGGCAAGTGGCCCTAGCGTACAATGCGTTTCATCTGTCCTTGTTCGAACTCGTAGGTAAGACCGATGCGAGTACATCCTTCAATGTGAAATATATACATGATATATTTGGGATCTCAAGTTCAGGGTAGACTTGTGGTGTGATTCGATCCATGTGGACGACGTAAGTACCTGACTATACGTATAACTAACTACACAATGGAGATTCGATGGAAATATCATTTTTGTTTTTGTCGTATATATGTGGTTAAAAATAGTACATATCGCTGCTGTACTTGATATTGGACGGCATTTCACGCGTGGAAGATTCGACGTTCAAGTTGCGAGCCCTGGAAGGTATACAGACAGTCAGTAGTCCGACCCCAACACTTGGACTTATAGTTGTACTAACTTAGTATGTATCCATTATTGCACGTTGTAGTGAATTCTCACTTGCGATTTCACATTCAAACTCTAACGTTACTCATGATCATTGCAATGGTGTGTGTACGTAGACATTCTGTACACGGATGTGGTCGACGTCGCCTTGCAACGAACGCTCCGTGAGATTGAAGCGATCATGGCCACAATGATCATCGGTACCCCTTCTTTTGCATGCCTATCGGACTAACCTGCTACTAATGATATTGATATTACGCTGTAAAGTTAAAATCATCTAACCTGCTACTAGAACCCGTGGACAATGAATACGACAACCACACACAACCACCCGACCAGCTGGTGCCTAAACTCGCCATCCCATTGCACTCAGGGACTAACAATAGTTTCCCCGACTTGGCTCCCCATCCCACTTCAAATCATGCCTCCATTGACGTCGGGGTGGGGTTGCTGAATGTCAGCTGCCATCCCGCACATCTCAACCCCTCCTTAGCCTCAACACCCCGTACGCATAATCATGACCGAATCGTCTTTACATGCTTGCTCATAGTCATGTCAGAACTTCATACGTTGGACCCCCAACTTCCATTCGTTTCCCCCTCGCTTGAGACATTCGAGCCGCTTTGCGTTCAGACCAACCCCCAGCTTCATTTGGACTCGCCGCCGCGACCCCTCGCCCTAGACGACAAAGACCGCCATATTTTGACCTCCATCCCATCGTTAACACCTTGGGGGGACGACCCCCCCATGTTGCCGCGAGAAAAAGGCACTCCCAAGCAAACCACGTCGCACCAGTCGTCTTTCGAGTCGCATATTTCGCGTAAGTACATTCCTATTATATGGGGTTATCTGCACGAACAAGTGTGGTTGCTTCTGCGTAGTCCGCCAACTGTCAACATCTGCTACCGCCACAGCTCCCACCCCTCCAACCTTCCTCCACCATAATTCATCGTCGATCTTCCGCCAAATGTCAGTCCTCCACTCATCTCCCACCTCACCAGGACCAGCGGCGGCAGCTCGTGTATACGTACCCATTAAGCCTGTCAAGGCAACTCAACCCCTCGAACGTACTACGATGTTATTTCTATTGCCTTCTGCTTCATTTGACGATGATGTAGAGCGAGAATTTGGGGGATTCAGCATCAAGTCCCCCCGAGAAGTAGCCCCACCCCACCACTCCTCGATGCCTGCAAAACAAATTGCTGTTTCAAGCCGACTTCCTAACACCACGTTTGTGGGGGCTCTGTCCACAGCAACCCTTTTGGCCGACTCAGTAGACGAAACCCGCATAGAGGACATCCGCAAGGCCTTTCAAGGGAGAAAACGACAGAGTTTTGTTCGCAAGCGGACCCCCCCTCGTCTAGGCATCCTCGACACCAACCCCCCCGGGGTCTCTGCTGCTGCTGCACCCACGTCCCTACCGCAAAAGGACACCCCCAAACAAGGCAAACCAAAGCGAAAAGCTATCGAAAAAATGGCAGTGGATCTGGTCATGGCGCTCGCATCGTCCACGCTGGGAGCAGCACTGGTCGAGTCGCCGACCGGCATGGCCAATCATGGCACCTCGAACGCCGTCGTTCTTTCGCATATGACCCCCAAATTCAGGACTCGGCAGTTGGCCAAGGAAGAGTACGCCCCTGAGCCCCCACAAAACATTACTGGGGTGGTTCCTACTAGTAAAAGTCTCCCGCCCACGCATCGAATGGTTGATTTGGCCGCTCAATACATGGATGTTGGTGGGGGGTTGCTGCCTCCTCGTCCCAGTGGAGCCACCAAACATTTGTTACCTCGCTGGCGTCGTACAGGCGCACAACCGGTAGCCACAACGCCAGACATTCCCCCAGTGGTGATGGAGGTGTGCGCTGTCCAAGTAGTGCCAAAGTCGCCACATCCAGAACCGACTCACGTATTGCCGAGATTGGGGCATCGCCCGGACCCAATCAAATCGTCCAAACTCTTTGACGATACCACCCCTACAACTCGCACGGATATACGATCGGCAGTTTCGTTTGACAGCCCATCAGTACACCGGGGGACTAGCCACACGAGCCACCATACCGTGACTCATCCGCGAGTCAGGGGGCACCTCTACCATTCACCCCCCTCGACGCCAACTGTCGGGCATGATAAGGACTCCAACATTGCATTGCCAGCCATTGAACACCACCACATACCCCCTAAAGATAAAAGCAGTTCGTACAAAGAAGGGAACGAGGCAAGACAACCAACAGCGACGCATCCAACTTGTCAAATGAAACCCCGTCTCAGAAACCCACAGCGCCACGGCGGCGGATAGTCGACCAGCCGACGCTTCTGACCGTGGAAGCAGGGGTGCCACTCGCAGAGTTTGTCGTCACCCACCTTGTCTGTCCGATGCCCTTGCCCATTTAATACACTCTATTTATTCAACACAAACCGTCATACACGACGATACTTTGTGTGCTTGGAATGAACGTGTTATCCATACATTGATGGCCATAGAAAGTACGCCCGATGGATGGCTTGAAGATGATGTAGATCATATCTTGACAATAATGTCACAGCCATGTATTGACGTCGAGATGCCAAACCAAACTTGGGACCAGCGGTACATTCATATATATATATATATATGGTCGTGCGTTGATGTCAAGCAGGTGGCAGCCACGCTGTCATGTTCTGGTGTTTATATGGCACTATTATTATATCGTTGCACAGTTCAAGTCAGAAACGTTCGACAAGGGTCAACCATCCTGGGTGGTACACTCTTTAGTGTAAGCCATCGTTCACATAGTCCATGTCCATTCACCCCGACTTCAACATTACCTCCAATGGGGAATTGGAGGAATGAGTACACATCTACCCCCCTTCTTCCCTTCCCCATCCAGCCGCGTTCCACCTTCTGCATACAATTTTCAAACCGTACATCATGGCACACCATATAGTAGCACAACCATCGACAGTTGCAGGTGAACCTTATTTCCACTGGTCAGACAGCACCGACGATACAGAGTCTGACGTTGCTGTTTGTGTGACAACGTTGTGCTGGCTTTGAATGGTCGCTACCTTTACTGTTTTGACACATCTTTCGGCCTGGAGCAGCCGAACACTCAAGTTGAGCTTCGCCAGTCGGTGTAAATTCCCAGCAAACGCAATGGCTTTGTCTTGATGGAATGCCGGGTGTGTAGGTCTCCGACGATGGCTTCGGCCGCGTCGACCCGCTTGAGAACGCGATGCAGTTGGTGGTACAGACGCGGGGTTCTAAATCCTCTAGCAACTTATTCTGCATGTCTAGCACCATCATCAACGCAGACGTCCCATCAACGTCACATGACGGACATGTCAGAGGGTGAACCGACTGCCGGAGCGGCTCGGACGATTGCGATGGCGATGACGAGCAAGAAGAATGACGAGAATTCGTCTGGGAGGCGCGGCGATGTCAATTCGAATGTAGCCATGGGGGATTTGTGGTGGCGGCGGTGGTGATGGGGGGGGGTTGAGTTGAGAGGATGTTGGTTGATTGATGGAACCGCAAATTGACGAGTAGGACTGTATGTGGAGGCTCTGTGTAGATGCTTTGAACCAGAAGAAAGAGGATGCAGCTGGCTTTGACTCTAGTGTTTGACCTGGTGTCGATGAGTAGTGTCAGGGTGGGGTAGTGTACGGAAGGACGGGGATGGGATGGCCGAGGCATGTTCATGTGCGTTCGCCGCGATGCCAAGGAAGTAGTTGCATGTGGGTGATGGTGGATATGGGGGAGTGTAGCTGCCACGACAGGGATCTGGTCTGCCTTGACGAGGTGACGTGCGACGAGTCCAACGCCGTTAAACAGAGAGAATCGAACGAAAACACATCGTCCACTTCCGCAAACTTGAGCGAATCGCGGCGATCGCATCGAACGGCTCGGCGTCTGGACATGCATAGTCGAGGGTAAAGCGGCCGGGAACGCCGAGGTCGGGCATGGCGAAGGCGGGTTCCGCGTACGCAAAGCGCAGGTCGCCATGAAGAGTGCGATGGCCTGCGAAGACTTCGACGTATTGCGCAGACAACGTCATATCCACTTGCCCAACGCGTTGAGGCATCGATCCAAAGTCAACTGCCACGAAAGGATTATCAGCGTGACAATTCAAAACAAACGACGAGGTAGTTCGTACTGGTGACAAAGCAAGGCGCGTCAGACTGCGACTGCGACGGTCGGCTGCAGCGCGGGTGGTATGGAAGCCACAGCTCCCCACTGGAAGGTGTATACATGAGCTCGAGCGGGTCCTCGCTTGGCCACGTGCACGACATGACGAACGAGGTGCTGCTGCTGTCACCCCTTGCGGTGTGATGCATGTCGTGCCACGATGGACGATGCATACTTCCGCTGCGACGATGACAAGGATGCTGCTCGTTGTCGTCGTTGCTGTCTTTGCTGCTACCTCCATACCTGTACTGGTGGTGATTCTCTGCATGGGATGGTTCCATGTCGTTGGCACGATGACAAGCGAAAACGTTTACTTTGAGATGACAGCCAAATGATCCACTTTGAAGTGTTTGGATTGGCTGAATTTCTGTCCTTCTATAATCATCCAATCCAATGGCGAGTGTGTCACACATCCACAGCAAGTAACTACGATGATTGGCTATAATTCAAAATGACCAGCCAATCCAATCGCTCCCTGGACACATGGGCCGCAGATAAATTCACAAAAGTCAAAGGACATAATATCTATCTACGAGTCGACGGCAGTACTGGACGTAGCCGTGGCCAACGCTCCGTCATCCAGGTCGTCGGATTCGCCGAGGGTAGCGACGTCATCTCCATCTTGTAGGTTGGCAGTCGTCTGGAGCTGCTGCAACGCCGTTGCAAGCTCGCCGCTGTCGTGGCATGCCTTCATTCCTCGTACTTCCTTCTCCAAGGACGCGAGTCGTTTGAGGATACCCGCGAACGATTCCTTGTCATGGTTGACTTCCGCCTGTGGAACGTTGTTTGTAAGCGCTAGGATCTTGGATTCGGTGGATTGCAGTCGGGTGGTCAAGAGCGACAAGCGGGAATCGACTGCCTTGTAGATCTTGTCTTCCATTTGCTTTTGCATGGCTTGCTGCATGGACAAGATCATTTTCATCGTGTCCATGTCAATTGGGGGCGGGGAAGGTCGGCTTGCGACATCGGGGGTTGCAGTGGATAGTTGAGGCGGTGGGGTCGGGGCAGCTGGTGGTGGATGCACGCGGACCTTGAGTTCGCTGAGCGTGAGAACATCCTTTGTGTGCGTTGGCTGCAGCGACACGAACTTGAACGACACACCGGAAGCGACTTGCATGTCCTCCGTATTGGAAAACGCATACGGAACATGGAATACGTCCGTGCCCGACTTCACCCCGCGCACTGTGTCGACGTATCGCGGCTGCCGCTCGCCCGTCGGACTCACTGTTATGATGTACACTTCCACATGTCGCGCAGAACTGTCGATTGTCACGTCAAGCAGCTTGAGGGTCGTCGGAAACATGACTGAGCATAAGGATGAGAACGCATGCTTGTGGGAGTAAGTAACAAGGACGTACTCGTAACGGTGCAGGACAGGTCCTCCTTGCACTTGCATAGCGTCAGCTTTTGCGGCAAGAACACATGCACTTCCCGTGCATGGGCTTCTTGTGCCAACTCGAGCACCTGACCTGTCGTCCATGACGATGTGACCTCCATGTCGCAATCAATGCTAGGGAAATCCGGATAACATTACTGGTTTTCTTGTGAACACATTTTTGTGTATTTTCATTTGATAAATGATATTTTAATATCATTTATCAAATGAAAATACAATATTAGTAATAATACCTATTAATAGTATTAAAATACTAGGTATTGTTACTAATATTGTGCATTTCACCCAAAATTGGAAATGATCATTTCGCCAACTATTATACTTTCGAATCTATTTAATCTTGTACACACTGTACTATACAACGATCAGTATTTCCTTGGTTTTGCCCAATGCGGTGGGGTCAAACATTTATATTGGCAGAAATTCGACATTACGTGATTTGATTGGTTCAGGCGGTTCTTTAATCGTTTCTCCTATTTCGAATATTATCCAATCAAATAACGTGATCGACCAGTGATGGGCCGAATGTTCAGTGATGTGCCGATTTATTTCATCCAATTAAATCGTTCGAGCTGTATTATTGGACAAAAGAGAACCTCTCATGCCAATAATCTTGTAAAAGTTTATGGTGGGAAAAATTATTATATGTAAAAGGTTTTCGAGTTTGAATTGACATCCAAATGCCGCCTCGACGCCGTACACTGACCACACCCTGAGAGCAGCCGTTCACAGTCCTATCCAAAGCCCATTAGGTAGAGTAATTATCCACACGAATTTTCCAATACAATTTCCCTGAAAATCCTTCGG